ATGATTTTATAGAAAGAAGAGCCTCTGAGGTTGATGTGTGCCTAAATGCGGTAAGGTGGCCGGTGTCAGGGAGGGACTTGGACTTGTTTATGAGGGTGGTAGAAGGCAGTACAGTGTAGGCAATTGAAATGAGAAGCCAAGTGAGGCCACCTTACTTAGGATTTTCCTGGGAACCAGACTTCTTTTCATCACATAAACATTTAAATGTTTGTCGCAATGATATTTGCCCTAAGTCTCTTTCCTCAGGATATCCTGATTCTAGAAATGGAGATACAAGCAATTCATGTCATGTTAAGATGGATGTATTTGGCCTCTCTCTTACTTCTTCTATTTTATGAGTGCCTCAGGCAAAACATGAGCTTTTGGGACACATCCAGGATTGTTGGATTAGCAAGGACCATCTGTGTATTGTCCATACTTACCTCAGGATGAGGAATCCAAAGAGAGACAGGAACATGAATTCCTCTTATTGTAGCTTCTGTGCTTTCAAGCTATTCAGATTTGAGTTATAAATAAAACTACCTCATATGCCACAAAAGAAAACTAAAAGCAAAGCTCAAATAGCTGTCATTGCCCATGAGTTGTGGTGAGAGTGTTACAGGCAGCTGCTTCCTTTATGCTTTGACTAATCTGACATCACAGGTGGAATGACAAATCGAGTCTTTACTAGATTGTCTCTTCATTCCAAAGTAAAGGTCTCTGAGCCTGCCTCAGTGTGTGTCTCTGTCTTCCTTATTATTATAACTCTATCACTGCGGTTTAGTCAGTTTGATTCATGAGACCTTCCATTATGTTTTGGTCTTGTTTTTGTTTATTTATTTTTTTAATGCTCGTTTATTTACAAACATTGTTTTTCACACTAGATCCTTCCCATTTCCCTCTCCCCCCAACCCATCAAATTGTACAAATCCATAGTTAATCCCCCTCCTCCACCCCACACATCTTTCATCCCTCTGCTTCTATCCCCCTGCCCCTTGGATCCTCACACTCATCCTACAGTAGTGGTTTTGTACCATTATTTGTGTTTGTCCTTGTGGGACTGAGTTAGTATCCTCAGCATAATGCTCCTTTATGTTTTTGAGGTTACAGATCTTTACAGGAAGAGTATGAGTAATGCTTACAACTGTTCCTCTTCCTTTGTATTTCTATACTTGAAAACACAACCCCCTTTGCTGTTTCTGTTATCTAAATGTGTTCTGTTGTAC